TAAAAACCGTAGATCATTAGATCATGACTAGAGCCAGACGACCACGCTCCGAATGTGAGTCAAGAATGAAACGCCTGGCAACAAATCGATAATCGATTTCATTTTGAATCGGTAAACTCAATTAAGTATTTAGCACTTAAGTCAAATTTATTAACGGCAATCGAACCATTTTGGCTAGCAGACATTTGGGTCATGACCGCAAAGGAAATTCTTGGCAAAATGCGATGCGACGCGACGAATCGAGTCGCGACTTCGTCATTAGACGAACAGCAAAAAGTGTTTAATTTAGTGAAAGGGGTAAAGGGAGCAGACAAGGCGAGACGAGACGCGATGATGTTCGAACCAAACTCAACGCCCACCAGAAATAGTGCCATGCCCATAAATCTTGACACGAAAATTTCTTTATTTTTATTGTAAATTATGTGGAATTCGTTTAGACGAAGAGAATGCGGGAATAGAAATGACATGCGGGGAAATATTTTATTAGTTAAAATGAAACGGTATAAATATATTTGAAATAGCAAATATATTAAGACAATAAATTATTAAATAAAATATATATTCACTACATATGTATATGAGTATGAAATGGACTGATTCCCCCAATGTTAAGGCCTTAAATTGTCTTATGCACTTACCTTTTGAATATCCTACTCAGCCATAAATATTTAATCTGAAAACAGCAAAATATTTAGTGTAATAATTTTAAATATTATATAGAACTCACCACTTCCTAATGATTCTGTTGTGAATAATTATTTTTATTTATTATTTATTATTCAATTTAATGAATTGAATAATTCATTCATTAATTCATCCTTTTTATATATTAACAGAGAGAGAGAGCTCTCCCTTAAGCAGTAAAATCTCATTATTCAAGATATCCAAAAATATGATCTGTCTAGATAACATGGTTAATATTTATGCACCTATAAAATCAATCAGATTAATTAAAACTTTAAAATAAATACTGTAAAAACTCACTTCTATCTCCTTATTATAAGATCCGAGTATTTTCAACCATTTGCCCAGCTGTCCAAGAGTCCAAGAGTCATGTCAATCATAATCAATCATATCTTAAGAGCTTATAATGCGGAAATACACTCGTATAGTTTGTTTTTTAAGAACTTCCTTATGAAAGACACAGACACTGCCGCTCAGCCCTCAGAGTGCACTCAGTCGTGCTAATGCGTCAAAATCTGTATATTTTTGTTTTGTTTGTTTGCCATTTACAGAAAAGCAGTTCAAGTATTTCCAGCCAAAGCAGCAACAATTCGAATTTAACAACTGCAGCGGGTGGAGCGGGTGGAGCAGCTGGCAACAACAACACCCACAGAAATGCGGGCAAAATAAGCCTACATGCAATTGTTGGACAGACGGCAACAGCAACAGCAACAGCAGCAGCAGCTCCAGCAACATCATCAACTTGGCCCCAGCGACTCGAGCAAGCTGACTTATATGGTCAGAGCAACAACAGCAACAACAACGGCCAAAAACGTCGCGTGGGCGTTGCTGCTGACGTCGCTGCTATGGGGACGCCAACGCTGCGTCGTGATTTGGAAAGTTTCCGGCATTATAACGATGACGATGCCACCTCCATCGATGAAGATTTGCGGTAAGTGCTGCCAGAGATTCAATTGGAAATCTTTGTAAAATACAATTTGCTCATTTGCGACATTATTTGCTTACCTGCTTGCAGGCTCAGCGCACGGCATCAGCGTCGCCAGCAGGTGTCACAGTCGGTCTATGCACCGCCGTTGCCAGCTAACAGGGACAGCAACAACAGCAGCTTTGGCAGTCTGCAGCGTTCCCGTTCCATATCCACGGATGATCTCAGCAACGATTGCTGGCAGCAGCAGACCGGAGAGGAGGAATTGCCGTGCGGCGATTGGCGACGCGTTAGCAAACTGCGTCGCTCGTTTCAGTCGCAGGACTATCACAATAAAACACAATCCCGACCCAGACCATTGCCATTGGATTTGCCCAGCAGTTCGGTAAGTGTGGCCCGCATCCGGGCGGAGCTGGAGAACGGACGCAGGCTCAATACGGCCATGCGCAACAATCACGTGGATCTAGCAGCCCTGGACAGCATACTAAACACAACAGCCGCATCGGTAGCAGCCGCGGCAGCAGCAGCAAACGACACATCAACTGCTGCAGCAAGCAACGCATCCCAATCTTCGAGTAAGCCGCTGGTAACCAAACGTGAGACATTTTTGACTGCCGCCTCGCTGCAAGAGATACGCGGCAAATTGAAGAAGCTGTCGGACGAGAGCCTCTACAAAGAGGATTTCGTTGCGCACCACCAACAGGCCAGCAACAGGCAGCCGGCCACAATTGAGCCACCGCCGCCATCCGCCTTTCGGCCGGTTCACAATACGCACAGCCTGGAGACGCGTCAGCGGCCAAAGGACAACAATTCAAGTGAATGGCATTCGCGTCGCAAGTCTTACGGCTTTGAGAAGATGTCCCCGCCCGAAAATCGTAGCATTTTTCGTGTGGACGCCTCCACGGACAGCGGCTTGGGTCGTTCGGGTGAACAGTTGGGCAACTGGTCGCCCACGGAGCGTACCGCAACGTCGGCTGCAAATGGAGCCGGCTCCACAATAATACACTTTGGCCGACAGCAACAGGTGGGAAAACCGGCAATCAGCAGCGAAACGGAGCAGTTGAGCAAGCGGCATTCGATTGCTGTTGAGGAAACTTGGCGCGATATAAGGAAAACTTCACATGTAAGAACAGCTCCAACTATTAGACTAATAAGCATAATCGATAGCAAATACTTTTCTATGAAACGATGTATCGCATAGACTAAATTCATAGATGAGAGCAGCATACTGCACTATTTGCATATTAGAAAAAACTTCAATAATCATAAGATTAATAAAGTAACTTATTAATTTATGTGATGCTTAAATAATTGGCAATAGTATTTCTTCCTTTTGAGCATAGGCATACATTTGACACAGTTTAAGTTGAGCTAGTTGAGCAAGCAAAAGAACTTACCGATATATTTTTAAATATCTTCCACAAAGTATTTGCTATCGACTGAGAAGAAATACCACACATTCCACTTTAATTAGATTATCGATAATTGCTCGATTTGTAAGCCATTTCTTTTTTGACTTTTTGCTTTCGACATAGAAAAATACCACACTTTCCAATTGTATTAAGTTATCGATAAAGTGCAAAAGCTAAAACCTATTTGAATTTATTTAATATTGTGTGTGTTTTACATATGTTCATTCTATTCAATTTATTGATTTTGGTTTCCATTTGCAGGTGCATGTTAATGGCGATTCCATAAATGGCGGCAGCAACAACAACAGCTCCAGCCAGCTGCAACGCAGCAGCGCTCAGAAACGAGTTGAGTTCTGTAAAACCGAGGTGCACTTTGCTGCCGAATCGGGCCGCGTTAATATTGTGGAAACTGATGGCAAGCCGCCACCCACGCAAAACTTTCGTCGGCGTCGACGCACCGCCAGTGGACCGCTGCAGAGTCTGGTGAAGTCGGCCAGTGTAAGCAGCACGACCACCACCAGCAGCAGCACAACCACCACTAATAACAACTCCAGCAACAATGTCACCCACTTTGGCGACGATCCGACAGTGCGAGCCAAAACTATTGCCTCCACCACAGTAGCCTATCGCGCCACACTAATGGAGCCGCCAGAGCTAGTCACCCAACCGGTGGCCGGCACACAGGTGACGGTGATAACGAAACCATTAGTGGAGCCACGCTACAGCTTGCTGGAGACAACGAGCTCCACGTCGCGGCACAGCTACACCTCCACCAGCGGTGTGGATACAACCGACAATGAAACAGACGAACTGGCCAATATACGGGGCATATTGAAGAATAAGCCAGTCAAACCGAAACCCTATCATCTGGGCGAGAATATTGAGAGCGCTGAAGCGCTCTGGAGTGTCCCAGCCACCATCAAGAGCGAGAATCGTGAGAGCAGTCCGCCAAGTCGTGATAATGGTGAGCATAAATTAGTTTGAGTTGATTAATTATAAGAGCGACTTAAGGGAATTGGGATTTACATATGTATATGAGTTAAATCCTATACTATACTATCTGTATTGCTTACCCAATCAGCTAAATCATAAATCTACGATTTAATTAAATTTTAAGCTTTTTTGTTGCCATCAATTAGTCAAACATGAAAAGATTATAATCTAATTATAGTTTCCCAATATTCTAATTAATTCTGCAACACGAATTTATGTATGAGCATTTACTATAAATTAGTAAATAATATCTAAGAAAATATCTCCTATCTAAACAATTTAATCAAACGACCAAAGTTTAATTAAATTTTAAAATTTATCTCAAAGATTTTGTGGCTCAAGAAAATAACATTTGACTAATTCCATTTCAATTTCATCGACAGCTACAGTCGAATCACCAATAACCACCAAATCGGTGGCCGAACGAGTCCGAATCGTGGAGCAGAGGCAATTCGAGAAGCAACAGCAGCAGCCATCGCCAGCTGGAAATGGCTATTCGACCAAGATCAATGTGAATCTGGGCGCCGAGGAGTGGACCGAAACAGGTTGGTATTTAGCTGTAGAGAATTGTACGATTAACTTTGTATAGCCTAGCTGTTGCTGCTGTGCCTGTATTTTCTAGTGTCTTGTATTTTGTTTTGTTTTGTCTATGCGGTTTAGTTGTAAACTCCTCTACTTGATTCTCAATTTGTTTAGTCTTGATATCGTAATGCATGTCTCTATGTCGCTGCTTCTCTTTCGCACTAAGCCAAATAATTAACTAAACTCACTATCCTAACCTTAAAACAACAAGAAACACATACATATGTATATGCTAACCAGTGTTGGAAAGTATCAATTTACATATGAAAACTAATTCGACTCGATGATCAATCATGACTGAAAAACAAAGTTGTACCAAATATACAAATATATTATATAAAGCCCTAATATTATAAAAAGTAATATATTTACTCTTTCAAGAATGATTAATAAGAAAAATTAAATAGCGTGTATAAATAAATATACATCTAACTAAATTTATATTTTATATTTATATACATTCTTAATTCCAAAAAAAAAAAAAAATAATAATAATAATAATTTTTTTAAATATGCCAAAATTTTCTTTTCAATTAATCTTTTTTTAACGTCTTCCAATTTATATTCCAATTTATTTAGAGAATTTTAACAGTTTAAACCAAATTGTTAGAAATGAAACTATTTCTTTTATTTAAAAACTGTATATTGAATTTACTTTTTAATTAGAATGCCTTAAAAATATGTTATAATGAAAAATAAAATGTTTCATAATTTGACTAAAGTAACCTAATTAGTTCTACTTTTAAAATAATAATAAATCTCAAACTTGTTTAAACTTTTTAATTACAATTATTAAATGATTTTAATTAATGTTTATTTCTTTGTATTGAAATCAATTAATCATTTAAATGATCTCTTTCAACAATTAACAAATACAACTCTAATATTTAGTCATGATTATCGCAAAATTAATTCCGCCCAACACTGCCGGCTAATCCAAGAGCCATTCATACAAACAGAAAAACAAAAAGAAACACCAACAACATTTTTCTCGCACATTTCCCCCATGCAGGTCGTCGTCGCAGTAGCGCACAGGAACTGCTGCTGCAGGACCTGCGCGCCCATCAGCGCATCCTGGACGAAGGTCTCAAGTCGACATCGTTGATAATGAAAACCATGCGATCGGCAAGTGAATTCGATGAGGCAATGCGTCGATTGAGCATAGCCTCGATCGAGTCCGCTCTGATACAGCCCACGATTGTGGTGCCGACGCCCATGCTGCGCTCGCATAGCTATCAGGAGGAGAGCAGTCGCCGCACCTCGACCACATCGATTACCAGCAGTGATCTATTTGGGAGCACACTGTACGACTCGCTGCCGCGCACGCCGCTCGCACCGCCTCGTCTCAAGCTCTTGGGCAATACGCAAATACCAGTGAGCCAGCAGTTGACTCAGCTGCGTAGGCTCTATGATGCCGCCGAGCAGGAGGAGGACAGCGCCGATGAGGAGGTTAAGCGTTATTTCCGCGAGAACAACAACAACAACAACAACAGTGATAGCGGCGGCGGCACACAGTGCAGCTCCTCGCCCGAGGATGTGGTGCTCAAGGGCACCGAGTACTCGAGCAGCTGGAGCCGGCTAAAGGCCAAGCGCACCATCTGGAAAATCGAGGCGCAAGAGCAAACGCTGCAGCGCACAGGTAAAGGGATTGGCTCATTGCCGTGTTCAGGTAGAGGAGTTTACTTAGCGTCTAGGGCTCAGGCAGCTGGAGTAAAACTTAAAGCATCAGTTCTAATATGTATTTCCCCTCTGTTCCGCTTGCAGATCTGCCCAAGTCGAATGTGATGAGCATCGCGTTGCATGCACCGCGGCTGCAGAAGCCGCAGCCCACACCACCCACGCTGCGCACCGGGCAGCTGGTGCCGGTGGCCAAGCCGCGTACGCTGCTCGTGCAGCCCCAGCCCCAGGCCCCACCCCAAAAGCAGATGCCAGCGCACGGACACACGGACAATGGAGACAATGAGTCGGGCAGCGAATCTCTTAAGATTGTTCGTGAAGCACGCGGCGCACGCAAGTTGCGTGAGCACGAGCTCTCCTATTTTGGTGTACAACATTCGCCGACGGCCACGCAGAGCGGCAACAAGTTGCATGCCACGCCCAGTAATCCACGACGCACGCTGCCCACGCGCAGCAAGCAGACCCACGCCGAGGAGGCAACGAATCCATCAGCAATAACAACAACCACAACCAAGTGGCAACTATTGAACGATCGACCCGATTTACTGCGGCACAGTCCGCAAGCCAACGATGATGATCACGAACTAGCTGAGCAGCAGGAGGAGCAGGAGGAAGAAGAGGAACACTGCTATGAAAACATAGCCAACGAGCTGACCACAACGTTTAGGGTCAAGTCGCCGTCGCCAGGCGGCTACGAGCGTAAAACGGATTTGCAGCGCGATGCGCAAATACTCAGCGAGATGACACGCAACGCTGATCAGACAATGAAAGTGGGTGGTAGTTGATAGATTAAGCAACGCAATATTTGTAACTTAATCTGTGCTATTTTTCAGGCCCTCTCCGATGAGGCCGCTTTCAAGGATCAGCGACGTCGTTCGTGCTCGCTGCAGAGGCGCAGCGCCAAGCCCTTGGCCACCATCGATGAGAAGGTCAAGGCCGATGCCACCAAGGCATTGAGTGTGGCTCGCGGCACGTTCGCCTCGGAGGCGCGACGCAATTCACGACAATCGACGCCATCCCCGACGCGAGCACGCAGCTCGTCTCAGTCGTCAATTGAGTGCTGTCCGCGCGATCGCTCGCGCTCCAGTTCGCGTGAGTCGATGACCCACGGAGGCGGCTCCTCGGACGAGCAATCGAGCAAGCAGCGCGTAGAGCGCTTGCGCATGCGCACGCCCAAGCGTGAGAAGACACGCCACGAGCCAGCCGAACATCATTCGTCCAGGCAGAGCAGCAGCGGCAGCAAACCGAGCACCAGCAGCAAGCTACGCAGCACCTCCAGTTCGGCGGCGGCAGCGGAGAGCAAGCGCTCGCACCACCACAGCCGCCATCGCGAGAAGGAGCACGGCAGCGAGCACTCGACCAAACACAGTTCGGGCTCTGCCTCGGGCAGTCGACTGCTGCGCTCCATGCGTGTCACCGAAGAGAGTCGTCCGCGCCCCAGCAGCTCGCAGCGCACCAGCGACCGAGAGCGAGCACGGGGCTCTGAGCGGCAGCGAGATGAGCTAACACGTTCGCGTGGTAAGTCCACTGCTCGAGTCGAAAACAACAATGCTTAAATATGCCTTCTTTGTTTGCTTTGCCATAATCTATTTGCTGTACTATATGCATGTGTGTCTATTGCAGAATTACTTGTTTTGGGCTTGCTCATAATGGGTGCCACACAGCCGATTCGGCTGAACAAACGCTTTAGGTTAGCCAGAGCCGCCTCAAGCGGCGAACAGCAGCATCCAATACGAAAACTAAGCAAACTAAGTTGCACAAAGCAATAGATCATAACTTGATGAAGTAGCTCAAGGCTATTGCCACTGTTGCACTTGTTCCTATACATACACTATACTACAAAGCTGGGAATGAAAGCTGATTGAATTCGCCTTATTCTTAAAGGAGAATAACATTTTCATGCAAGATTTTTCATGAAGATTGGTAGTCAATGCTATAAAGTATTTATATAGTGTTATTAATTTTTTATTTTTTTGCTAGAAGAATATGACAAGTAATTTATAAAGAAGATTTAGTTTGTGAAATTATTTATTATTTGTATATATGCGTGACTCAATCGAAATACATATAATATTAAAATATAATTATAGAAATATTAATATATCTTAAAATATATATTAGTATTTCTGATAGACTAAAAAAGTACAAAAACGTATACCAATATTAATACAAAATATTAAAAAATAGTTAAAATAATATACATAATAATAAAATTCAAAGTAGTATAAAAAATATATGCATAAAAAATCAGTATAAATTGATTTTTATAGACATAAAAGAAAATTCAAAATAGTATAAAAAATATATACATAAAAATCAATATCAATTGATTTTTTAGTATTTTTTTTACACGATCATTTAATTTCTTATTATTCCTTCTATGTTTAAATACAACTACATATATTTGCATTCATATATTAAAATCGTTATCTATTTTGTACTTTGAATGGAAAAGAAACTAAATTGTCTCAAATATTTATTTTTGTTTTTTAATCACAAAAATGTTGACAAACAGTTGAAACTCATTTTTCATTTTCTTTATTCAATCTTTCTATATTATCAAAAATAGTTTAAAGTTTAGCTACAAATTAGCCGACATTCAAGCGCAAGTCTTTCATTCCCAGCTGCAAAAGTCAGTCACTCGAACACATTACATACTGT